TCTTTTTTAGTCGAATTTTCTCCGCTCCTCCTTTCCGTTTTTTGTTCTCCATTTTGTTAAGCTCGTCTGTCTGTTTACTGAGATTCACAAACAACTGGCGGGTGCATCAGACCTCTGGCTATTGGTCCAGCCCAGTGTATTATTACCAATTGGCCAATCCACCAACTTTTACGAGGCGTCGCGTGGGGCGGCACGGACAAGTTGTCCGCAACAACTAGAGACCAGGAAAAAAAAAAAAGAAAAAAAAAACAGACACCGGCCCATAAAAGATGAATGGGTCGGCCCAGCGGGCAATTGCCCGCTATGCCCTATGGTCAGTCCAGCAGTGCCTGGAGCGCATCAAAGATCAGCGCTGTTCCTCCTCTCTGCTCAAGAATGCCCCAAGAGTTCAAACAGATCCACAGCCCTGGGCGTGGACGTTGAGGGCTTCGTAATTCTAGCTCTGCTCGACATTTTCTTCAACGTGACAAAGCCCCCCCCCCCCCCCCCCCCCCCGTTTCTCATTTACGTTGTTTTTGACAAAAACAGCTCTGCTGCTCCAAAATGATGCATTTTAAACATTGGTGTTGTGTTATTGTAATATGTTATAATTGAGATAAATAATAAAATATGACAAAAAATTCAAAATGTGGGACAAAAGGACTTATAAGCCAACATTTAGAAAAAAAAGACATTTTTCACATTTTCTGAAAGAAATACGTTGGTTCAGGTTAAAGTTCATTTTTATTACATATAAAGTTAAAGAAAGGGGCGTTCAGGTGCTGCTGTTAATGTTAACACTGGAGCGTCGATGGTCCAGACTGAGATAAATGCATTAAAGTTAGGCTCCGCCCATTTGGGTTACTATGACCACCAGTGCCTCCTACTACTACTTCTTTCACCCCGCCCACGTGATCCTTTGAAGTGACGTCATAAAGGCTCAGAGTCCTATTATCTAGCATCAGCCGGCTCCCACTTCATTAGCAGCCGACTGCTGGTGTGCGACACATCGACTCTCTGAGACAATCGTCTTTTACAACCTCAAACCTTTTTTCTGAGTTTGATAAAAGACCAAGAGCCTCTAGAATCATGTCTATTCTACATTTTTCATCTGAGGAGCTTCAGCGGGAATTATCTGGGTGTAAACACCCCAAAATTTATTTTTCCCATATGGCGCTCTTGGAGAAAGTCCAGTCTCAGCTTTTAATCACGGAGAAATGGTTAAGTGATGAAAAGCAGCAAACGTTACAAGCAGAGACTGAATTGGAAAAATACAACGACATAATTACCGTCCTGGAACAAGAACTGGACGTTTATCAAGACAACGCAGAGACCTGCAAGGTCACCCTGCAGGCTTTAGAGACCAAACTGAAGAAGAAAGCAACTGTGTGTGAAAATCTGCAAAATCTTTTAAAGCAGGAATCCAAGCTGAGACGTAGATTTGAACAGGGGAAGATAAACGACCAGATTAGGAACGAAGTTGATCAGAAACTAAGAGAAGAAATTAGTGAACTGAAAGAGCGTCTGGATTACTACCAGCTTAACGCTGAGACCTGCAAAACTACAATTCAGGCTTTGAAAATTAAGTTGGAGGAAAAACTAAATGTTTCTGAAAGTTTGCAAAACCAGTTAGGACTGGAGTCAGAGCTGAGACTGCAGCTGGAAGAGGAGAAACAGAATAAAGACTCGCTCACCGAGGCTTTACATGAACAAATCAGAGATTTAGAGATTATAAACGGTGTTCTGGTAGACGAGATGAAAAGTATCTTCTCTGAGACGAACGAGGCAGAGGAGACGCTTTCTGAGGAGGACGGAGAAAAGGCTTCTCTCTGTGGGGAATGTGAACCCAGTTCAGAGGACGAAACTCAGCTGGGACCCAGTCTCAGATTAGCTGAGCCAGTCCAGCAGGAGTCGTCTGGATGTCGGCATCCAACTTTCGATTCCCTTTTCCAGACAGTCGGCTCGGAACACCTACGGCTGTCTCGCCTGGACACAAGTCTCAGTGACCAAGCTGAAATAAGCTCAAAGGTAGAGAGCGAGTGCAAAAAATCCAGAACTCTGATTGATGAACTCAAACAGAAACTGGATTATTACCGAGGTGAGGCAGAGTCCTGCAACAAAATGATGCAGGAGGTAAACTTACAGCTGAAGGAGAAAGATAATCTGCTGGAAAACCTCCAAAAGCGACTCAGACGGGAATCTGAGCTGCTGAGATCCAAGTTTGATCAGCAGCAGAAAATCCAGCGGAACAAAGACAACGTTTATGAGAAATTAAAGGTAGAAATGAGTGAACTAGAAGAGGGACTGGATTACTACCAGAGTAATGCAGAGACCTTCAAAATTACAATTCAGACTCTCAAAACTCAGCTGGAGGAACGAGAACATCTGATTGAAGACCAGCAACAGCGTTTAAAACAGGAGTCAGAGCTGAAAGTCCGGCTGGGACAGGAGATTCAGAACAAGGACTCGTTCAACGAGGACTTAGAGACACAAATTAGAGATCTGGAGAAAATCAACCATGATCTCTCAGAACAACTGGAGACCTTTAACTCCAGGAAGAACACGCCTGAGCCAGACGAGAAGCTGTCTGAGGAGCTGGAAGCCTTCACGTACCAGCTGGTAGAGGAAGCTTCTCTGTGTGAACCTCAGGAACAAACTTCTGAGAGTCTGGAGCCTGACGAGGATTACGAGATGGGACATGATGTTTGCTCTCCACCTGCAGAACAGATAGATTCAGTGGAAGCAAGCGGAAGTCTTCATGAAAACGAGCCTTCTCCCAAAGACAGCGTTCCACAAACAGTCAGGAACCAGAATGTTTCATTGTGGAGGCGCTTCAAGAAGTTTCTCACTCCGGCGTGTCTACGGAAACATAAAGTTAGGCCTTAAATTAGCATCTGACCCCCAAAACACTCGGGCTTCATGATGACGTCACCAGTTTAAACCCCAGCTGTGACCTCACGAAAATTAGCATTCTCTAAATTTAGACATTTTTGTGTGAGTGAGTGAGTGAGTGTGTGAGTGTGTGAGTGAGTGAATATCTAATCTTAGATGCAACACCCCTTTAGAGCACACAAGCACAGCAGAAAAAAAGGGGCTTCCTGATGGAGAATCAGTTCCCCATCATGAATGCGTGGGTTTACTCCGGGCGCTCCGGTTCCCCCCACACACACGTAGGGTTAACTAGTGACCCTAACATGTCTCTGGGTGTGAGTGAGTGAGTAACTGATGCAGCTTTCTTTAACATAGAAACATGCTTGCTTAGTGTGGGGATTGCTGGAAAGCCTCTGACACAAAAAGTGGGTGACTCCATGCAATCTGCTGCGTTTCCTTAGGTAGAAAACCTTTAAATGACTGGAAAAATGAGCTGAACTCAAAGCACTTTTGAATCAGTAGAATTTTTTTATTTTTTTTTCCGGAACTGCGCTGCTCTGGGTGGTTGCATGTTGGAGTAGCTCTGTTGACTTTATGTAAGTTTTGCCTTTTCTTGGACTTTTTTTCTTCTAGTTTCTCAAGAAAAACTTTAGTTTTTTTTGGACATTTTACTTTTCTGTTTCTGGTGCTGTGAAGCTTTGAGGATTTTTACTGCTATTTTTTCACTTTTTGAGCATTTGTTATGATGTTATGATGTGTAACCATGGCAACAAGCTGGTTTACAGCAGCTGATTAACATTGGGAAGGCTGAAATAATACCTCAACTGAAGCCACAAATCCCAAATGAGCTAAAACGCCCAAACCATCTCTTCCATCGATCATAATGGGCAATGTGAGATCACTGGCCAACAAGATGGATGAACTCCAAGCCCTTTCAAGGACTCAGCCAGAGTATCGGCAGTGCAGTGTTATGTGCTTCACTGAGACGTGGCTGCAGGACCATATCCCCGATTCCAGCGTCTCTCTGCCAGGATTCCTGACTGTATGAGCAGACAGAGATCTGAAGAGGAGCGGGAAAAGAAAAGGAGGTGGAGTGGCAGTGCTTGTCAACAACAGATGGTGCCATCCAGGTCATGTTTCAGCGAAATGTCGTCTCTGCAGCCCAGGTGTTGAACTCTTGGCAGTAAGTTGTCGCCCATATTATTTGCCAAGAGACAGAAATACTCAGATGACTCTGCAGTTGTCGGGTGTATCAGAGATGGACAGGAAGCTGAGTACAGAGAGCTGGTGGAGCGCTTTGTGGCATGGTGTGGAAACAATCATCTGACCTTGAATGTGAACAAAACAAAGGAGATGATTTTAGACTTCAGAAGAAGCAGGGTGGAGTCAAACACTGTTTCCATCATGGGAGAAGAAGTGGAGGTGGTTGAGGAATACAAACACCTTGGAGTTCACCTGGACAACACACTGGACTGGAGAAAGAACAGCAAAGCCGTTTACAAGAAGGGACACAGCAGACTGCACTTCTTGAGGATGCTTAGGTCCTTCAATGTCTGTAGCAAGATGCTGCAGATCTTCTACAAGTCTGTTGTTGAGAGTGTAATCTCTTCAGCCATCGTCTGTTGGGTTAGCAGCATCAGAAGCAGGGACCTGAAAAGCAGTGGCGGCTGGCCAGTAGAGGGCGATAGGGCGCCGCCCTCCCAGTTTCCCCAGTGTTTTTAATTTTTATTTAAAAAAATAAATAAATAAAATTAACAATAATCACATATTGTAAGTTAATTGTGTGTTTTGTAACAAAAATAAATCATATATATATCTATATTGGTCTCTGCCGATCTCTGCCGGTCTCTGCCGAGGGGTGAAGGCTGTGTGCTGTTTTTCAATCGCCCAAACAAGACGGGACCAGTTGTCCAATTGCTGACAAGAAAATCAAAGGGTAGGAATGGGAATGTATCCAATCAGCGTCAACGTTGTTTCAGAAGCATGATGGGCGATAGAGCTACCGCCAAGGCTTTCGTTGGTGTTCGGTAGAACTCGGAGAGTCTCGACTCCAGCACGTTTTTGGTCGTGACTTGTGACGGTCGTGACGCAGACGTAGACATGGACGCCAGTGCGCCTACAACCAGCAACATGGAGCCCGGATCTCAGCAGCCACTGAATTCAGTTCGGTCTCTTCTCCAGTATCCGTTCGAGAGGAGAACTATGGTGGAAAAATTTAATGTCAAAGAGCTTGGACCAGATCAGCCCGACGTAAAGATAAGCCAGCAGGACAAGGAGAAGGGTAAACTGTACACACGACACTTCTCCCAAAATTGGTACACCAGGAAGCAGTGGCTAGCTGGATGCAATCACGCTAATGCGTTATTTTGCTTTCTGTGTTTGTTATTCAAAACGGCTGGGATCCACAGAAGGTGGATGTGGAACTTGTGTCTCATTGGGGACCCCATTCATTCTCTGACTGAGGAATGCAGCGCATCAGTGCAGCAGCCAACAAAGAAACGGAGGACGTTTGGACAGGGAGAACAGCAGCTGGGTGCAGAGGTAAGCTGTACATTACATTTCTGTAAACAAGACAATCAGAATCAGAAATCCTTGGTTGTCCCACAAACAGGGACATTTGTTTAATAACATGTACATTGTTTAATGTGCAATAACTGTAAAAACACATTTCAACACACATACTTATTATACATATTTAATCATGTAAATGTGTATTTCAAGTAAATTTGTACATACATCAATCTGATTCCATTTTACTTGTTACACTTCTGCTGCAGCAAACAAATTTCCCAGCTTTTGGGACAATAAAACATTTCTGATTCTCAATGAGATGTTTTTACATTTGAAGTAAAAACATCTCATTGAGAACCAGAAATGTTTTATTGTCCCCAAAAGTGGGAAATATGACATTTGTAAGAGGATACTGATGACATTATTGCCTATGAAAGTGTTTCCACTTTCCATAAGTCCTAACAGTGTAAATTTCTGGCATTTTGTCTAAGTAGTGTTTACTACCATTACTGTAACAGTGACCTGCTCATAATTTTTCGTGTTCACTCAAATGTTGAAATTAAACAAAATGGTTTTGTTACTTGCCTCTTGCATTGCCTATTTACCATTTATGGTCATGTTATTTTATGTGCAATTTAATGCAGTATTTTTCAACCTTGGTCCGCAAGGCAGTTTGCCAATAGTCAGACACACCTGGATTAATCAGTTTGTCCAATGATGTAAGACAGGAAATAAAAGAGCTGTGCTTAATTCAGGAAATAGTGAAGTTGTGCACAAAGCTCAGAAAGCACAAGTTTGTTTAAAAAAAAATAGCACAGCCCCACCAAAAATATTTTATACCAGCCGCCACTGCTGAAAAGGCTCAACAGCCTAATAAAAAAGGCTGGTTCTGTTCTGGGGACGACTGTGGAACCACTGGAGGAGATAATGCAAAGAAGGATTCTCCAGAAAATCAAGAAAATGATGGACAACCCTGAGCATTCTCTTCACAAGACTGTCCGACAACAGAAGAGTGTCTTCAGTCAGAGGCTTCTTCAGTTTCGCTGCAACACTGACCACTACTGGAGATCCTTCCTGCCAACAGCCATTGTAATATACAACAACTCTTTGATGACTTGATTATTATTATTATTATTCTGAGCTACTACAGCAATCAATTTCCCTCTGGGATTAATAAAGTATTTTTGAATTTGAATTGAATTGAACTGGAACGCTGGCTCTGTAAAGGGCTCTGAGACGACCCTTGTTGTGGATTGGCGCTTTATAAATAACCTGAACAGAACTGAGCTGTGGGGAGCAGACATGTAGAGCCAGGCTTTGACAGCTGGACGTGTGAAACTAAAATGTTGAACATGAAATAAAAATGTAAGTAATTAGATATCTTAGGCCAACACATTCTCACACCTGAAGTGGCTGAAACTGACGAATGGTGACCAAGCGTTTGTTTCCAACGTGTTTAGAGGCGGCGCGCTGCGCCAGAGTGTCGTCTCCCAACTCACGTGGTAAAACGGACATTTCACCAACATTTAACCTTTAACCTCGAGCTGTTTAACCTTCCCCTCACCTCCATCCTAACTTTAACCCACTTGAGCATGCAAAACTGTGTTTCTTGTTCTATCGTTCTTCTCAAACACAGTTAACGGTGTAGCGTGTTTAACTACATACTAGAATCAACACTGTTTGCTATCAGCTTTGTTAGATTCTTAGAAAAGATCCAGACAAGTTAACAATGAAGCATCTATTATATATAAATATCTAGGATATTATATATTCGATAGAGGTTCATATGCCAACGAGCTTGGTCTATTTTTAATCCAAAGATTAATGTTTAATTTAAGATAATTAAATTTAATAGCAAAAGTGTATTTATTTAATCAGAAGTTTAAAGGAATCTTTGCTTTTTATTAACCAAAAATATGCACCATTCTGTGTTTCATTTCAAAGAAGAGTCAGGTTTTTAAAGTTAAGAATTTATTACTAACACTTAAAAAAATGACAATTTAGAAATGACCATTTTTGAACAGACAATTTGATATTAAAACTTGTTTTAAAAAGCAAACCTGTGACTGGATGCTAAAATGAAAATGCGAGTTTTTTGGATGCGTGAATGAATCTCAGAAGGTTTCTTTCAGCGAGAGAAGCATTTCTGGGTGGAAAGTTATTTTGCAGCTAACTGAGTCGTTTCTTAGGAAGAACAGCATCAAATACCATCTGTGTGCTACCTCACCCAGCAAGACGACCCTCTGTGTGGATCCGGAGGTCAAGGAGGATGTTGTCAGCCTCAGGGGTACTCGGTCCGGTAGAACCGATCCTCTGGTCCAGAGATGTCGCGGGTACACGGTATCGAGTGTCTGGCTTAACTCTGAAGGAGTTTTGCGTCAGCTGGTTACAGTTGCATTTATTCAGAGCGATCCTATCAGCGTGACAGAATGCTTAGTAGAGATTCGGGCGGCCGTCCCTCATCTCCTTGTATGGTTCAAGAACTGAACTTTTGCTGTTGGAATTCTGTTTTAACAAAACCCTCAGAACACGCCCACTCTCAGCATCAGAAAGCTTGGTCATGAGTAAAGACGTGATGGTTTTACCCTTTACCCTGGATCCCTTCCGAATGTGGCTGGTTAACGTGCACGATGACCTTCTGGTTTAATGACCACACATTACGGATTATCAACGATAACTATTATTATACCCAAAGCATAACAAGTCATTTCAGTTATTAAAATACATGTATACTGAATCAAGAGATTATTTATGATGGTTGTAATAACAGTAATAAAGTCAAGAGTTTATTAAAATTATTATTTAATATTATTATTGTGAAACTAGAAGTGTCCTTCATCTTGGGACGGAACAGCAGCAGATAAAGATGGTTTCAGCAGACATCACGGCTCCTGGCGTGGTTAATCTGTGGGGCAAAGCTACAGAACGACCCAGCTTGACCCTGCTGGGAAAATGTGTCCTTTGTCACAAATTAGAGGCCATTCATGACGCTACAACAGGAAATTTAGAAAGAGAAACAGGGTTAAGGTTAGGATGGAGGCGAGGGGAAGGTTAAATCGCTAGAGGTTAGAGGTTAGATGTCTTTGAAATGTTCGTTTTACCACGGGCGTCGGAAAGCGATGCTCTGACACAGCGCGTCGCCTCCCAGCGCGTCGGAAACAAACGCTCGGTCACCCGTCGTCAGTTTCGGCCGCTTCGGGTGTGAGAATGTGTTGCTTAGGCAGAATGCTCAGAACTCTATGATGTCACAGAGGCCGCATCAGAAATTGTCATGTGCCGGGGTGAGTGCTCCTCTCATTTTTGTTCCATCTTTGAGCTGCTGTGTTTCAGGAGAGGGAGGCTCCAGCTGCAGCTCATTAACTATCAGCGGGTCCAGCTATAAGAGGAGGAGGAGAACACATCTCAATGCCGGATGATTAACTTGGTAGTTCCAGCCCTTTGTGTCTCCAGGTTAACTCTATTTATTTTTGGATTTTAGAACCCTTGTAGATATACTTGTGCTTACCGGTTCCCAGGATTTTTGGATCGTTTTGTGGGCCTTACCTTGACTCCTCAGGATCTCCTTGGACTTCTGAAGCTTCTGGAGCTTCTCTGGTTTTCCTGTGGCTCCTCTGATTGACTACTTGGGCATCTCCATGATCCCGCTGGATTACTTACCTGTGCCCCATAAATCTCCTGGATGCAGCATTCACCGTTCTCCTCTCCTCCCTGCCGGCCCGCTCTCCTCGCGCCCGCTCTCCTGGACACCCCCTCTTGGATTCACCCCGGTGTCGGTACAAGATGTGCTCGGGTGCAAGATCGGCTCGGGGTCCGTCGACTGCCGATGACGTCAAAGTAGTTGATTGGCTGAACATGAACCTTACGGAAATTACGTAATCACGTTACGTTGTTATCACGTTACGTTGGTCCAGGAAAATTTTTCTGTTGGAAAGATGGACAACTTTTACAAAGAAATCCATCATTACCTCTTTGAAAATACACTTTTAGCATAGAGCTGCATGTATATTAGGGCTGAACGATTAATTGCATGTGCAATTAAATTGCAATGTGACAAAAGGAGATTTTCTAATCGCAAAGGCTGCAATTTGGCAGCGAGTGGTTAGCGCAATGCTAATATACATGGAAAAACCCATAGGAATGCTAATGCTAATATCACCGATTACATTATTACAAATTATGAATTAGAAAAGTGCCAAATGATTACATTTGGAGTCTAAAAGAAAGTAAAACTACCATCAATCAAATAAGTACAGACAGGTATTTTAGTAAAGCCAGAAAACTTTTAACTCCAGAGTTTTGGCTAGCAACTATGAGCGTACCTGAACTACACATGGACAAGACATCAAAAACTCTAAACACAAAATACTTCAATAAACGGGATACACTTCTTTCCGTCAAATTCAATTTCACAGGTGTTGCTAATACCTATGATCCTTCAAGGGATGTGCTCAAAGAGGAGTTCAACATTATGAATACAATATAGTGTTTTATTTTACAAATACCATTAAAAACACACTTACGTCGTGAGAAACATTATATTAATAACGAATCTGCTAAATTCTTTCCAACAGTATAAAGATGTGTAGTGTATTTTGTCCGAGTGGGTTTGCCGTACTTTGACATTATCGGCAGTCGAAGGACCCGAGCCGATCTTGCACCCGAGCAGATCCTGTACCGACACCGGCACTCCACCTACCCTCCCCAATTCCTCAGCCCCCAGCTTCCAGTAAGTCTTAACTCTGCACCTTCCTAGTTCAGACTTACCTCCCTGGATTCACCTGTTCCTCTGCTCTCCCCTCCTCAGACGCTGTGGTTCCGTTGCAATCCCCATTCGACCTTATCCAGTGCGCCCTCGGTTCCCGATTTTTTTAAAGTTAAATTCTTTAATTTTTCTAATTGACTCGTGAGTGGTGAATTCTACATGTCTTGGGTTAAACTCGTCTCCAAAACCATGTCAGAATCATGTCGTTGTGAGTCTGTGTATTTGTTAGCAGCTCTGCCCTCAGTCTGCCAGGCAACAGCATTTGTTG